CGTGTAACGTCCATTTGCTTCGGTATCTGCGAAACTCGCTTGTTGGAAAAAATTAGCCGGCCGAAGAGCTGTTGAAAATCACTTGGCCAAGTTTTTCGCCGATAAATCGCAGAAGTTCTACACCGATGATGCTATCCGAAATTATTATGAAGCTATCCGAAAGATGGCAAAAGGCCATAGATAATAACGGTCAATATGTGCTAGAGTAAAAAATTCGCGTGGACTTTTAATATTAGCAAATATTTTGGAATTCATCGACCATCGATGCAATGTTGGAAAAGTGTTTCCACTATCTTTGCCTTGAATATGTCAAAAAACACAGCCCAACCAACATATAGAAGATAATTGGAAGAGAATTTATCAAAGCGGCGGAAGATACGAATTGGAATTTTTAAAGGCATATTTTCAAATAAGATAGGTCAAAACTTTTTTTCGCTCTTATTACTTCACCTGGTATAATTTCATCATGGTAAGGTCTAATGTACATAAAAACTTTCGTTGAAACTAAAGTAAAATTCGAATTTAAACAAAAACAAAAATTATTATTTTTATACAGTATTAAGTGCATTTCGTTCTTTTTCTCTTAAACAAAAATTTGTTGTGGTTTGTTTTTATTTTTTACGCAAAAGATAAAATTTCTTGTAGAAACAAAAGAATTAAAAAAAAAAATATTAACAGATCGTAATCCTTATACTTATGGTTTTCATACGTGTATTTACACAAATTTTTTACGCGAATTTTAATGCAACTCAAATATTTTCCAATTTTCCAATTGTTTTCTTTCATTGTTTTTGTTGTGGTTTCTACAACTTATCATTAACAAATTATTTATGTATGTATGTATATAAGTAATTCAATTACTTGTGCTTGAGAACTTGACATTTAAAACGTAGACGTAAACTAAATCTAACTTAACGAGTTATTTGTTTGTTGGTTTTGAATTTTCAGAAAATAAACAAAACAGAAAATTAAATCAAAATTAAGAAATCGTTATACAAGCTTTAGTTTTTGTATAATATCGCACTAAAATTAAAATAAATATAATTTGTAATAGTTAGCAACCTAAACTAATATACTACACATATAGCAATTAAAACGAAACGAAATATATTTGAAATTTCTAAAGTTTACAAAAATTCCAATGCAACGATACAAACGTTTTTTTTACTCGCATATTTTCATTTAGCATTTTCCATTTGTAAGCAAATTTTTCGTTTTATTTTCTTTTTCTTTAATTAACAAATCATTATCAAGTGAAACAAAAAAATTATTAAAAAATTTATAGCTAGCTAGCAAGTAACAAAATTAAAATCAAATATTATAGATCGAAATATACAAAAATTTATGTTTTTTACACTTAAAATAAAAAAAAAATAAAATTAGCATCGAATTGTAATTAAATTACATTAACTCAAAATATGTACGTACATTTAATAATAGTTAATAGTTTTCTGTTTATACATATGTATATAATAAATTTTTTTTAGATTTGTGTGTACAGATTGCGTGCGTGTGTTTGTGTGTGTATATGTATATTGTGTGTGTGTGTGTGTTCCACGATTTCATATAAGGGGGTATATGCAACGCTCGCAGTATTTGTTGATTTTGCTTTTTTTTTATTATCGTATGTATATTACACGCGCTAATAATTTATTGTAAATCCTTAAGTGTCGGCCCCTTCTACACTTATCATCTGCTTGTATAGAGGAAGTATTAACGGTAGTTTGCACGTAGCACACAGTGGTAAGCACCCAGGTTGAAAATGTGAATGCGAGAAAAATAAAATTGGTAATGTTCTAATTTTCTTTATAAACCGGCACGCAGAGGACGGCAACGGTGTGGAAATGAACTTCCGGAACGAAACTTCCAAAAAAAAAAAAAAAACTTAAAATGTGTTTTACGGTTAGTGCGACCATGGAAATGGGTTCCTAAACACAAGAACAGCAAAATGGTATGTTTAAATTTTTTTAAAGTTCATTGCGTACTGTTTTCATGTAAGAAACGAAAAAAAGTGAAAACCCTATATTTTTTAAATTCATTTCTCTCGTTTTTGAGGTATTAGATTTTGTCACAAAAAAGGTTGATTTTCCACACTGTGGAGTACTAATTTTTGCTACATACCTAAGTATGTTATTTCTGCTAAACTTTTACTTAGTGCCGTTAGGGTTTAATGTCTCTATGTATGTAAGAGAGGATAAAAATAAAATGTATTTTCAATAGTTCATGTATTGGGGTAAACAAAAATGTAGCCAAAGAATGTTTTTTTTTTTTGAACTGAAAGAAAAGTTAGAAATTCGAAAGTATTTTTCATATCTACACATTTTAGCATTATTTTTGTTTTTTAATTTCGAGGCTTTCGAGGCATTTTGAAGACAAGAGAGAGTTCCTGCACTTTTTCTGTTTTCACAGTTTTTTATGTAAAAATTACAAACAACAAAAGAAAAAAAATACCAGCGAAGCATGTGGCTGGGCCCTTTGGGTACCATAAAATGGTTAACAGCCAATTTTTATTTTTTTAATTCAATTTTACACTGGGTGCCTACCAAGTTCAAATGTATACGTACTGTGTGTTATTTTATAAATTATTTATTCCCTTTTTTATATACTATACATATATATGTATGTATTATTATTGAAGGTGAAATAATTTTCTATACGCTATTCGCATTGTAAACTACACACATTAACTGCTTTTTTTCTTTTGGTCGCACGTGTTCCCAAAAAAAAAAAAAAGAATTAAGACAAAAACAAATATGTATTCAAATAATCAGTGAATGATAGTGACATTTTTTGTTTTTATACACAGACACAAAAAATGCGATAATTTAACAAATTAAAACTATCACTTAATGAATTTCTTGTTTAATAAGAAATCAACAGAGGAAAAATTATGCGAAAAATTTCGGAGTCGAGCGAAATCACAAACGAATGAACGATCGAGTTGCTGCCGCTGTGACGTTTTTGGTTGCGACACGGCAATGGTAGTTGCTTATAACAGTTTGAAATTGTGAAAAATATACTACACTCAAAAAAGAACAATGTGACTGCGACTTTCACTTGTGAGTACTCAAAGGGGGAAGGTGTGAAGTGTTACTTTAAAAACTGTTACTTTTTTATTTTCGCTTTATGTACTAGTTGGTGTTGAAGTTCTTTTGTATATGTAAACATATTAAAATACATAACTATATATTTATTTATATGTATTAAATTACTAAAAGTGTTAAAATCTGAGACAGAAACTAAAGACTTTTTAATGGTTGTGTATGGGTATTTTTTGTTTTTCGTGTAGCTACAAGATCTTTTGTTTTGAGAATTTTTATTTATTTTTGAACTTTTATTTAATCGATTACAGTTTACAGATATTTTATGATTTTTACTCTTCGACAAAAAATAAACGTTTTGCTTGAAGTTTTTTGATCTTTTATTTATTGTTTATAATTTATCGATATTTAAGGATATTCTTCGACAACTGATCGATATATAGACCCCTTTGTGCAAAATTATCGTATGTTACAAAAGCCAAATTGTACAGGAAAGTATTTTTTTGTTTGTATTTTTCTCTGATTTGGCTGGCACGATCAATACCAAAGTTTAGATTTGTTGAGATAATTGAGAAATATAACTAAAGGCAAAAATTTTTCGTAAATAATGTATCGATATATGAGCATATTTTTTGATAATAACTGATCGATATTAGCTGATATTTTTCCAGCTAAGTATGCAGAATTGCATAGCTATATCGATTTTCGTCGTTTACTTATTTATACACGACAGTAGATAATGCCAATGTTGTCGAGTCGTACAATTTAGTCTAATTTAGGACTTACGCAATGAGGCTCAATAGCCCATAAGAAGAAAATGTGTCTTCATTTTTAGAGTAAAATTTAAGTGTGTGTTTATACACGGAAACTCTTGCCGACGCGATTTTTCATATTCCCTTTTGGTGTTGCTCGCTTCATTTACACACGGCGACTGTTTTGTATGCAATTGTTGTTGTCAGCTGCGAACCGCTAACTGAATTTAGCATGAGCACGAGCAACTCGGTGCCCCTCTCCTTTCCTCATCGCGCTCTCTCCTACAAACTTCCAGTTGCCGCAACAAAAATCGTCGTGTGTAAATGAGCATTTTTTCGAGTTTTTGAAAACGTTATTTGATTTTAATTTAATGATCTTAATTGATCGTTATATTTGGATTTCAATTTTTTCGCACATAACTGAACTATTAAATTATTTTTATTATTGCGAACCTTGCCATTTTTATTGGTTGAATGTATTTGATGCAATACATGGAAATAATTTTCTATTAGTATTTTAGCGAAAAAACCGAAATAGAGTATAAAAATGGTGAAAAATTCAAATCTTAAAATATGGATCAGCAATGATCGAAAAAATAAAAATAATAATACATCGATCAGGAGTGATCGAAATAAAATAAAAATCAAACACACGATCACATATCTTCAATGTCAAATTAAAATCGTAAGTATCGATCAGTTTTTTTTTGTTTTTACTTAAAAATTACTTGTTTTAATTACAATATGATCAAGAATGATCGAAAAATAAAAATCATAAAATATCGATCAAGAATGATCGCAAATGATTAAAAAAGTTCACAAAACTTTCGAAATATAAATATCGTTAAATAACGATGAAATATGATGTAAAACAATTACTACGAATAACTTATTAGAGAGTTCACAAGGTGTTGTATACTGTCGTGTAGTTGAAGGTCGTATTTTCCTAATTGTGAAACTTTACGGTCTACAACTACACGACAGTATACAACATCTTGTGAATTCCCTAAATGATTTTTATTATAAACTTGATAGCCGTTATGATCCCTGGTTAAAACTACTATAAACGCTGTATCTTTCTATGTATGTAAGTGCAACGTTATGTGGTAGGTGTGTAGTAGACAAATAATTAAAAACTATTGTTTTCAAACCGTCACATAAGATAATTTAAAATTATTTTTAAAATTGGGTTATGTATATATTTTTATTTATTTTTATTTTTTTTTGAATATGTAATATATTTTTATGCCTGTACAAAGTTTTAACTGAAAGTTGCGCTAACAAACGTGTTCTATTTGGTTGATTTTCGGTTAAACCGACTTCTATTTTTTATAAAATACAGTTTTGATAAGAAATTATTTTTCTTCGTTTGTCACTTCGTTCGAATGTGGGTTATCGATAGTGAATAGGTTTTAGTACTGGTATAGTGTTTCATTTGAAATATTTTCTGCTCTGCCATTTTAAATATTTGGCAACCTAAAAAGCTACTTTCATTACGTTACTAATTATTTATGTTTTAATATTAAAAAAATAATAATCATAATAATAAGGGCACAAAAACGTATGCAAATGTATCCGTTCTGTGCCTACAATATTTGTTATTTATACGAGAAGTCGTATGAGATCTTGATACACGTATGTAGTGTGTAAGAATGAATATAAAATTTGTGGCGCAAACGACTGCGACGCTGGCGGTCGGACGCATACATGTAGAGCATAGAGTGCCACTAATATATAAGAAGCCAAATACAGCACAATTCTAAAACTATTTGGACGCACTGACGCTCTATAATAGCAGTTACAAATAAACGCAAACGCAAAATATTTGCCGCTGTGATGGCGTATAGCAAAAAAAAGTGATAGTGAGAAAAGACAGTGAAGCAATTGACTCTCAAACAGATTTAAAACTAAGCTTGTTTGGCAGGCGAAAGAATTCTATGAAAGCAAATATACGAATATTTACTGTATATGTACTTACATACATATTAAATTCAAGCTTCATTTTCATGGTATAGTAATAATAAATACGCTCTATATCACAGCGACAAATAATTTTTAGCGCACTGCTAACTAGAGCATTCGTTCACACCCCAACATATTTCACCCGTTAGCTGTTTTTCAAATACATACATTCGAAAAAAAAATTTTCAATACAACCGCGTAACAGTGCACTGTCATTGCTCAGCGGTGTGCTCGGCGGCATCTGCGGCATCGGCGGCATCGTTCGTTGTCACAGTTGCGCTTGCGGAAGCTGGATGGGCTGTAGACGCCGCTGATTTTGTTGCGGACACCGCCTCCACCGTCTCAAGCTTTACATTTGCAACACCACATTGAGTCGATAGCCGGCATTTTTCAAGCGTCATACATGCAAACGCATCAACATTTTGATCGCTATCAGTGGCTGCTGCACGCACATCATTCGCTTTAGGACAATCACTACTATAAGCTATATGGGCAAGATCGTCTTGCATATTTGGAAATGTGAATGGGTAGTGTGATGTGATTGCTTTAATGCCGCCTCCGTCAATTTCAACCGCACCACCCGCACTAACCAGCGTGGGCGTGTAATAGATGCTCGACGCAGTTGTAGCACCATCTTCATCACAATCCTCATCGACTTCATCGATTTTCGTATCTAACATATAACTGTTTAATAACGGTGCTTGACATTTGTTGATCATTGCCTGCTCCTCACGCTTCTTCTCATTTTTTTCGTCCAGCTGCTCGTCGGTTGTTACAATGGTTACATTTGCGCCAACCGTTATGTCACTAGCGTTTATATCATTTGCTTCGCCAGCATCTTTTTCATTGACTTCGACTTCGGCTTCGCCATCATCAGCGTCTGTGTCATGTGTCCTTTCCTCGGTGACATTGAAACCAATCGCATGCGTTTTAGCTGGTTTGGCTGCAACCACAACAACATTCAGTTGATGTAACTGTTGTTGATGCTGATGTTGTTGCTGCTCTGGCATGTGTGCACTTGCAATTCGTAGCATGTGCAGTTCGCCGCGCTTTAATGCGCGCAAATTTGAATTCCGCTCGTTGAAGCTGGTGGCATAGTGAAGCTCGTGTGATACACTGTAAGCGCTTGAACTGCCAATATCGACTAGTGAACGCGGACTTTTACATGGCGAGTTATTAAAGCTTAGCTGATTATCACAATTTGATGAGTAAAAATCCTCAAAAGCGTCACTACTACCGCTGCCGCCACCACTGTGACCAACAGCACCAACGCCGCTACCACCGCCTACAGTCGACAAACTGCCATTCGAAGCAGTCATCGACTCGGACAATGATATTTTTGTGCGTCCGCCACCACCACCACTGCCGCCGCCATCGCCCTCACCGCCACCGACCACATCGATGTTAACAGCAGCAGCGACAGCCGCTAGTGTCCCACCTTTGAGCACGCCTTCGACATCTCCATAAATATCACAACTTTCCATTTGTGCAGCTTCTTCACCTCCATCAATAATGCAATTTTCACTAATAAACTCTGATGTTGCCAGCAGTGGTCGCTGCTTTGGCAAAGACGACACCGGCGTGCCCGTTGTCGATGACATGGACATCTTGTGACTGCGACTACTTACGCTACAATTACTGTTGCGTCTAATAGAAGTCGTATGTTGTACAACATTCTCGCAAAATTCTACAGGATTTGCGCGAAAATGATTCTGCAACCAATGCGATAATTTTTTTGTATTATTTTTCAGTTTATTTTTCAGTTTGCGACGCGAAGTGCTTGCCAAACCGCTGCAACCACTCGTCGCCGGGGAACAGCTCAACGCTAGTACTGCCCCATCAGTTGTAGCTGGATTGGCTTTAGCTACAGCAATGGCTGCTGAGCTAACCACGCCCAAATCACGCATTTTCTTGCCACCAAGTTTATGTTGAAATAATAGCGGCTTGTGTGTCCACGAGCTGACCACGCTGCTGACATTGCTCATGGGGCTTGTTTTGTTACTGCTGACAGCGGCGCCATCAGTTTTTTTGGGCGACGACATTGATACCTGAACTAAGACTTTGTCTCTACTGGGTGGCGGAACTAATTTTGGGTACTGTGAATCAACGCTATGCAAACCTTCCGTCGCACCAATGGGGTTAGGTATTAGAGCTGCTAGCTTACCGTCAAAGGCATTACCTGTTGCAGTATTATTTGACCTAAACTCAGTATTAGACCTATTTTTCAAATCTATAGATTTAAGAACTTTTTCTATACCGCCATTTGATTTAGAAGCAGTGCAACTCGATCGTCGCTCGTTGGTGATAATCGATTCGATTTCTTTCAACTTTTCCGTATTTTGGACATTGTCACATTCACATTTTAAATTGCGATTAATTTCATCATCATCACAACAATAACTACAAGTATAACTACCACTATTACTGTTTATATTCATATAAAATGTAGAAGGTAGTTGAGAAATGGGAGTGGAAATCAATTTGGAGTGAGTAGTAGCAGTGGTAAAGGGTATAGTACTTGTAGTAGTAATAGTAATAGTATTGTTAGCTGTAGGAGGTTTGGAAGGCGCTAATAGTGTAGATGACTGTAATGCTTTGTAGGCAATTGTGTGTGACATTTTTGGATGGCACTCACCGGACTCCCAGTCTTCTTCTTCACAATCTTGATCACCAGCCGATGTCGGTACCGACGACGATGCGGACGATGTGGTTGATGCAGACGACGATGATTGGCTGTTAATGCTGCTTTTGCTACTGTTGCCACTAATGCGACCGTTCATCACCTCACCACCGCCACCACCGCCGCAACCGCCAACTGCACCATTACTTTGCGCTGCTGCTGCTATGTTTCCTTTATCCACTTGCCTGCTATTACTGTTGTTATTGGTGGTGTTGCCAACCAGTTGCAATGCTGATGATGCTTGTTGGTGTTGCAATATATTTTTTTGGCCACCAGTAAACGCTGCTGCTGCAGATGGCGTCATAAACTTCGCCGCATTGCTTTGTTGTTGTATTGCCGTTGCCAGCTTAAAAGAGTTGATCGCTGTTGAAGGTGCAGTTACTGTCGCTAGCGTGGCCTTAGCTACATTTGGTGTTGTGGTTGTTGTTGTCAGTAAGGACTTCATTACCTCATGCTCCTGCATTTGTTGTAAATATTGTTGTTTATCCGCCGCAGGCATAATATTTTCCAAATTCACATAAGTGTGTTGTGGTGGTTGTTGTTGTGTGGGTAATGCACAAGCAACTGTAGTAGTAGCAGCGGTTATTCGGCCACCAAATGGTGTAACGTCTGCATCACAATTGTAGCTATCACAACCAACACCACCGCCGCCGCTGCTGCCTCCAGTTATGTTTTTCGCAGCGCCGACATATTGTTGTTTATAGCTAACGGAAATCCGTTGCTTTTGTTGCTGTTGCTGAAGCGCATATTGATACGGCGGAAGCTGCTGCATAAATTGCGTACCGGCGTAGGCGCCCTCAAGGCAGGAATAATCTGCAGCATTTGCTGCATCACCCATGCTCGTGTCGCCGATACTTCCACTGCCACCACTACCACCAATTAGTGGTCCACCAAAGCTGCTTACCGAAGCGGACGCTGATGAGGAGGACTTTTGATCACAAATATAGTTCAGATCGCTACCACTGCTGCTGTTCTGTGGCAGCTGGCAGTTGCTGCTGCTACTGCTATCGCCTCCACCGCCACTGTATTGATGCGATAGGCGAGCATTTTGAGACTTTCTTTGATTATTGCTAATTTGGCTAGCGATGCTGCTGACATTGGCTTGCAAGCCGGGCCGCATTGAACTTTCCGTATAGAAAACAAGTTGCACCTAAACGGAAAGAAAAGCCAACAATTAGTGTCCATTTGAAAAGGGATTTTTTTACGGTTGAAAGTTGCTTCAAAATTTAAATGGAAAGGACTTATTACCCAACTCGAATAAAAATGTATTAAAAATCAATAAAGAAGTCTGTGTTCGGGCGGACCTGAAATTTTCTATACCCAGCGAACGTACATATCTATAAATTAAAGCTTCTTTGGTTTTTCACGAAAATTTATGTTTTTGTGATTTAACTATAATTTCTGGCGATACTTCTAACTATGAAATCCAATGGTAGTATCTAATAGCAAGCGATTTATAAGCCTGAATCGGTTTATAGGGAATTCCACGTGGAAAAATATTCCCAAATAATTATAAAGCAAAAAAAAAAAACAATTTTTTGCATTTTATTTTTGTTGTTAAATCTTGGGAACGATTGATTTACATCGGATTGGCGATAAGGCTGAATATGATCGATGCCAGCTAAATCAGCCTTATACAACCCGAACCTTGTATTCCTTTCTACGAATAATGATTTCACTTAATATTTACGATATGCTGAAGTAAATAACACAACCCCCATCTTTGTGCTTGGACGGGCTCTAAACGCAAGCCTCATGGGCGACTACACACTCGGGGTTTGGATAGCGACTATGTGTAGAAACCTAATTGAACAGCAAATGAAACAAACTTTTTAACAAAAGCACGTCCGATAGCTTGCAGAGACGTTAAACCGTTTAACATGTCCTCTCGGGTTGATATAATGGTTGTACTTCCGTATGACATAAAAAAAAATTTAACTAAGCATAATTTTCATATCGTACTGATTTACAACAGTTGAACAGCCTGAAGGGACATATAAAATATGAAAGCATATGATTTGGCTTATTTAATATTTTGTAAGGCATTTTTTTTAAGAAAAAGGAATGTAGTAGAAAAGTTGAATTTAATAATTTTGTATTCATCGTACGCCCTGTCACACCAATTAAAAAATGTTCAGAATTGCACGTTTTCAGGAGATACACATATTTTTCTGCTAGGAAAGATTTATATTATATGTACGGCAGGATTTCTCCCAAGGACATCGAAAAAATTAATTAATGGAAAAAGCATAGTGGATATGAAGGGGTGTATTACAAGGCTGCAAAACTATATGTTTTTTAGTCGAATAATTTGTGCATGTCCTGAAAATTTGCAATTTTAGACCATTTTTTAATTAAATTTTTATATTCAACTTTTTTAACAAATTCTTTTCCTCCTTTACAAAATGCATTTCATAATATTAAAGAAACAAAATAAAGTGTTTTAGTGTTTGACTTGTCCTCTCGGGTTGATTAAAGATAAATGTGGCAGTATTAATTAGAAAATTTGAAAAATATCCTTTGAAATTGTTATACTTTAGTATCCTTATATATGTATATTAATAAGATTTAAATTAAACTAAGATTCTTCCAATCTCGCTTAAAAATTAAAAATCTTTAAGGATAATATTTTTAAAGGACATTTTTGATATGTTCCAGAAGGATAATTGACAACAAAAGTTTTAGTTAATCTTGTTCCGAATTCTTCTTTCATTTGATACCCATATCTCCGTATTTTGTGTAAACTTTTGGAAATATATTATAATTTATGGTCCTTTGGAAAAAATCCTGACTACCAGGTAAAAAACCAAAAACACAGATTTACTAAATATTATGTCCTAATACTGTAGGGAGTATAGTAATACCGTCTTACAAGGAAGTAAAATGAGTAAATTAACAAAACACGCGAACTGCAACAAGCTTATTCTGATAACTTTGACTGCAAGTCAATTTGCAAATTTGAAGTGGCTACGAATTACCGTTTATTTTTTAGAATTTTTTTTTGTCGCATTGGCTTCCATATAATGAATAAACTCAATTTATTTGTATATGGGTGTTTCCATACAGCCGTACGCGACATTCGTACGCTTATAGAGTAGCGTAAATCTATCAAAAATAGAAGTTACTGAAAAAAAAGATTACGGTTATGTTGCAACCAAAGGGTACTATGTTTGAGAAAAAAATAAGCAGCCTCGAAACTTTGGTGTGGAAAATATCCGTTCAAAACCAGGTGATAACGTACGCGACAAAAAAAGAAGTGGTTTTAAGGCACATATACATATATGCGAGTCTGCGAATCATGGAAGTATTTCTTTTCTTTAAATATTCCTAAACTAAGCTAAACAAGTAAGAAAGTCTAAGTTCGGGCGGAGCCGAACATTAAATACCCGGCGCAAGTATTAAATATATGTTTTCCTCCTTTCCGAAAGCTACCGCTACACGATAAGCCGGGGTGTATACATTTTAAGTAAATTAGCGTCCTTGAATTTCGAAATATTGAAATTTCAAGCATTTCTGTAATTTACCGTTATATGAAAAGCGGCCTCAATTTTAGTCCGATTTCAACAATTTTCAACGGTTTGCTTTTATGTGGCAAGCACAATAACCATACCGAGCTTGGTGCAAATTGCTAGAACGGTTAGCGAGATACATATATGTGATCACAAGTGGGCGGTGCTACGCCCATTTTCCAAAATTTTGTCGTAAACGTATTTCTTGGCAAAGAATTGTTGCAACCATCAATTTTGAATAAATTAGCTTCAATATTTACTGATTTATCGAAGATTTTGTATTTCTCGAAATTACCGTTATATGGGATGTGGGCGTGGTTATTGTCCGATTTTAGAAATTTTCGGCCATTTGGTATGCTGTACCAGGACCAACAACTGCGCCAAGTTTGGAAGAAATTGGTGTAGCGGTTACCAAGATATACACATGTAACCATAAGTGGGCGTGGCTACGCCCATTTGCCAAAATTTTGTAATATTCTTATTTTTCGTCTAAAACTCATTGCAAATATCAATTTTGAGTGAATTATCTTCAGTAGTTACTAAAATATCGCACTTTTCGTATTTCTTAAAATTACCGTTATATGGGAGGTAGGCGTGGTTATTATCCGATTTCGCCCATTTTCAATACCATCCGTCCCACGCCCAAAAGAAGTTCACGTACCAAGTTTCGTTAAGATATCTCAATTTTTACTCGAGTTATCGTGTGCACAGACGGATGTATTTGATTGAAATTTTCGTACTTACAATAACGTATGCCACAAACTTTAAAGGGTAATAAAATTTGTTTTACTTCGGTTGGAAAGAAAATTTTACTGTATATCTTTAACTGGAAGAATTATAATCTGCATTACCTGCGACTGCCAATATACAAATGACATACACAAACATTGTTTTTGCATAACGTACGCGACATTAGAATACTATCAGAAGCAAATCAAAAAATTACCGTTAACCGAGCTCTAACTTCTCCTTTTTTCATTTTTATAGTTAGTTGTTATTGCAAATTTGATTTTAATATGTAATTGTAATGTTTCAAATCTCTTAATTTAGTTAATAGGAAAGAGAAAATAGTTCATTTCATTAGAGAAAACTGAGTCGATATTGCAATAAGCTGAAATACTTCTATAATATAAAAATTCGAGTATTTTACTCTTATTAATTCGTCTTAAAAACCCTTTTCAGTTCTGGTTGACATTTTCATGGAAACACCCATATGGAAGAAATCCCCAACACCTTTGGCGAAAAAAATTCTAAAAAATCAACGGTAACTTTTAGCCACTTGAAACTTGCACACTATCAGACTAAAATTGAAGGGACTAAAAAACTGTGTACTCAAAAAAATCCTAACACTTCCGAGAAAAAAGTTTGAAATTTAGGTGAAAATTTGTTGAACTTTTTTGTAGTTTTCTACAAATTGTTACACATGGGTTTGTATGGGGTTTGTCAGAGAATGAACTGTATTTTAATTGAAAATTATTAAAAATAACTGTATAAACATAAGTGGCACACAATATCACTTTGAAATGGCGTTCTATAGATATGACCGATACTGTACATATACATATTGGAAAAAATTTACTATTTTTCAGTGAAATTGTATTCGGAAAAACCATTTTTCATAGTATTGAAATATACTCCTCGAAAGAAAAAAAAATTAGATCACTTTCCATCTTTTCCTAACAATCCGCACCGGATCCGGTAATTAGAGAATAAGCGAAAAGTTTGCTCTCAAAAATGGAACAAAGTCCAGAAGTACGGGAACGCAAAAAACCACATTTCGTGCCCACAATTTTAAAAACGGCAGCTTCATGTTGTCTTTGTCACTTAAATGCAAATCCTTGGAAACTGAATTTTGGTTTCACAATTTAAATTATATAAAGATTGAAAATACACCAACAAGCCATTCACTATTCCTTAAAGACACCAAGTAAATGCAGACAACATGTAAACACAAAACAGCTGATATGCACTTTGACTCTTTATCCATTTTTACCCGGAGAAAAAGTCCGGGCTGTATAGGGCAGGAAGAAGCAGACACTTACGAACCAATGCGTTCGAATTTTCGCTCTCCATTACCCATTTAGTTGAGTACGGGAATGATTTCTGGACTGTTTTGGGCACCCGCGGAATCCCGCGTTGCGTACGGGAATGAACCTATAAACGGTAAAACTAAGAGTTTAAAAGATTTTTGATTGTATTTTTGAAATCAACGAAATTTTCAGATTTTTTATACCGAAAGGTTAAATAGTAAGTCAGGAGATGACCTGTATTTTCGGCCCAGAACAATTGAACAGTCGCGTTGAAACGATGGACGGATGAACCACAGGCGAAATTGAATGTGGAATTTCGAAAGCCCAATTCTTAGCAGAGCAACAAACCCGCCGCTAGATAAAGTTAACTCTGATGATTATACGATTATTTCAACAGGATAAAACATCGACAGCCTTTAAGGCGTAATTATGAACTAGCTCTCTGATCTTGCTAACTTCGCCACTGCCAGAAATCTCGACATCTCTGGAGCGAAATCCATATCCATACGTATCCTTCTCAGTGCAGGCCTCAGCCACCTTTGAAAAATTAGGTGCCAGGAGCAAAGACCTAAAATCGCTAGCCGGCAGCAGATAAAGAGATTTTGCTCACA